AGGCCCATGTGAGCAAGGGCTGCAGAGAACTCAGCAGGGAATTCATGGGACACATGTGAAAGTCAGATATCTGAAACCCAACCCTGTCTGTGAAGTCAATTTAGTGTGTTTTCAATTTTATATCATTTCCCAGCACGGCCGCCCGCCAAGGATGTCATCCTCTGGCTCTGGGTAAAACAGCGCTGACAGTGGTCCAAGAGTCGATACAGTTCCATAAATAGTGATGATAATATCTGCAGTCATGCCAGAGCCCACAGAAACCAAAACATTAACATGCCCTTCATTCCCAGCGCTATTTAATCTTTGCTATCAAGCATTCTGGATGTGACAAGGATGTCAGGGCTCTCAAATCACAGTCTGTCCCCAGTCCTGCATTGCTCCAGCACCTTCTTGAGCTCTGACCTGATGGTGTTTAAGGATCTCATACCTCTGACCTGGATTTGCTTCACAGGAGCTCTGACTGGCCACTGTAGGTCCACAAATCCCATTGCTCTGTGGGTACATCAAACTCCTTCTCCAGACCACCTGGGCAGAGCAGAGCATCATTTTGGCTAAGCCCAGGGCTTCCCGCTGGACTCTCTGTGGTGTGTGCATGTGCTTGTCTTCCTCAGCCCTGAAAATCCACAGCAGAGCCAAGACAGGCCTCGAACTTCTCTGGGTGTGCAGCAGGAATGACACCTGGTACCTCATACAGCCCCAGATGTGTGAGAGAGGTGACACCTCGTACCTAGTACAGCTCCAGGCAAGGGACAGTGACAGCACCCACCACCTGGTACAGCCCCGGGTGTGGAACAGTGACAGTGCCCGGTACAGTCTCGGTGTGTGATGGTGACGGTACCTGATGCAGCTCCTGTGCTGACGACTGATGGCACCTGGTACCTAACACAGCTCCGGGGGGAGCGACAGTGACAGCACCCGCCACTTCGCACCGCCCCGGTGTGCGATGGGGACGCGCCCGTTACCCGGCGAGCGGGGGGTGGGAAGCACTGCCGTGACCCGCATCCCGCTACCCGCATCCTACCACCCTCATCCTGCATCCCGCCACCCGCATCCTGCATCCCGCCACCCGCATCCTACCACCCTCATCCTGCATCCCGCCACCCGCATCCTGCATCCCGCCACCAAGCATCCTGCATCCCGCCACCAGCATCCTGCATCCCGCCACCCGCATCCTGCATCCCGCCGGCCTCTGCCTGGGTACCGCCCGCGCATCCCTCCCGTGCGCGGGAGGCGGTGGGACCGCAGCACCGCCCCCAGCACCGCCTCCCGGTCCCCAGCACCGCCCCCCGGCCCGGCCCGGCCCCCAGCACCGCCCCCGGTCCCCCCCCGCACCGGCAGCGGCACCGGCCGCGCTCGCTCCGCCCCGGAAGGCGCCGAGGCCGCCGGGCCGGGCGGGCCGCGATGCTGCAGCTGCGGGACGCGGACGAGGGCGGCCCGGGGGGCGGCTCCGGCAGCCCCGGCAGCCCCGGGGCCGCCACGCTGGTGCCGGGGGGGTCCGGGCCGCCCTTCGAGCCGCCCGCGCCGCCGGCCCGGCAGACGCTGCGGCCGCTCAGTGTCCGCACCGCGGGCCGCGCCGGCCGCCTGCGCCAGTACTTCGTGTTCAGGGTGCGCGCCGGGGAAGGGCCGGGCCGGGCCGGGCCGCCCGCACCCCCCGCCCGCACCCCTGACCCGCGTGTGCCTTCCCCCGCAGCCCGGCACCATCGAGCAGGCCGTGAGCGAGATCCGGGTGGTCGTGCTGCCCGCCGAGGACGGGGAGGTGCAGAGCGTGTGGCTGCTCACCGAGTGAGTCCCGGGGCAGGAGCGAGGGCAGGGCAGGGGCAGCCTCAGCACCACTAAAGCTCGGTCACATTCTCTTACCAGGATCGATCACTGGAACAATGAGAAGGAGCGCCTTGTCCTCATCACGGACTGGTCCCTCCTGGTCTGTAAGTACAACTTCATCAGCCTGCAGTGCCAGCAGGTGACGAGGATCGCCCTCAGCGCTGTGGACACCATCTCCGTGGGGGAGTTCGAGTTCCCACCGAAATCTCTGAACAGGTAAGCTGCCACAGTCACGCTGTAACGTCACTGTGAGTCTCACAGTCACTGTGAACAGTTGGAGCTGACCACGGGAAAGGTCTGAGAATTCTTCCTTTCACTTACTTAACTCTGCAAACAGTTCCTGAAGCTTCATTAGGAGACCTCAGGGTAGCTGCTGGATTGCTGGTACAGTCAGTAGTTGCACTAACAGCGAGTTGCTCAAGGACTTTCAGGATAAGCTGAGGAGATTTGGGAGCAGAAGTTTGTCACCATCATGTAATGCAGTAAGGAGCAGCAGCACCACCTCAGTGTTGTCAGGGCCCCATACACATGGGCTGTCACAGGCTGTGCAGGTCAGGTTCTACATCCCAGGTGTCCAAGGAGTTTCACCTTCTTGCTCTCATCTCATAGGAAGGTTCCTTTAAGGGCTGAATTCATGCTATTTCTTGCCTACAGGAAAAATTTACTATAATTTGCATTTCAGCTTCCAGTTTCAAGTATGTCTTTGTCAGGCAGAGCGTTCCAGTTAAAGGTGCCTCAACAACTGGAAAGTCTTACCCTGTTAATTCTGGTCTCCACTACAGGCGGGAAGGTGTCGGTATCCGCATTCAGTGGGACAAGCAAAGCCGTGCCTCCTTCATCAACAGGTGGAACCCCTGGTCCACCAACATCCCCTACATCACCTTCACCGAGCACCCCATGGCAGACGCTGATGAGAAGGTCGCGTCTCTGTGCAGGGTAAGGAACGGGCAAGGAAAAGGAAACTGAAACTTCCAAAAGTGCAGAGTCCTGTAAAGCCAAAAAGCAAATGGATCTTGGCCTGTTCCTGCTCTTACTTACCTGACAGGCTGGTGGATTTTTCCTCTGAGGCTGCCAGCTAACTAACAGCTGGTTTAATTGTTCACTGAAAACCTCCACTGAGGGGGTTCTTGGTTCTTCTTGAGATAGGTGATTCCCTCTGGAGTTTTTAAAACTAGAATGCTTTAAGTGCAACACATCAGTGATCAGGGCAGAAATGAACACTTGGTCACTGATACATCTTTACCCATCCAGCCCATGTTTAAGTCACGTGTCAGTAGTGTCCTGTGTGAATCCCTGAGGTTAAATACCAGAATGTGACATTCATCACAGTACGTGAGATCCCTGACAACTATGGCTTTACTGTTAATCCTTCTCCATTCCACATCAGCAGCTGTTTCCCTAACAGTTTGTAAAACAATGGGAAAACAAGGTGATTTTTTTTTTCTTTCAGCTTGAAAGCTTCCAAACCCAGCTGATCCAGGCTGTGAAGAAAGCCCACAAGGAGGGCCCTGTGCCAGGAAGTGCTACTGGTGTCCTGGTGCTGGAGCGGCCCATCCTCATCGAGACCTACCTGGGACTGATGTCCTTCATCAACAACGAGGCCAAACTGGGCTACTCCATGACAAGAGGAAAAATTGGATTTTAACCCCCTGTTGAAGGGCAAGTGACTTGCTGTTGGTCCCCTGGGGAGAGCGCGCTGGGGGCAGAGCACACGGGGGCAAAGGGAAGTCTGGGGAAGGAAAGGGGGTGGTTGTAGGACAGTTCCAGGTTGTTTGGGGAATGCACAGGTTGGATCTGAGAAGCAGGCACACAGTGGTGTCAGTCCAGTGTTTTGTACCTGATATACAGCCCCCATGGTCCTTGTGGGGTGAGCAGCGGCGTGTTCCATGTCCTTCCAGTCCTGTTCCTCCTGTTCATGAAGTGCCCTTGGAACCTGCTGAAACTCTGCCCAAGTACCTGCTGTACAACAGAACCTTTGTGCCACATTACTGCAGTATCCCTGTGTATGGTGTCAAATCCCACCCTGTGCTTGGGACTGATTAGTGTTGACTAAAGAGGAATTACTGTTCCAATCTCCATGATCTCAGCGCTCTCATTAATGCCCGTTAGGAATTCTGAAAGCTGTCAGTCAGTCTTTAACAATATTTGCTGGCTTTTGCTAAAGCTGCAGTTCCACCTGCTCAGCAGCAGTTGGTGAACTCTGAATATGCTTTTGTAAAAATCCCTCTAAGAACCCACTGGAGCTTCCTCTGTTTCCTTGCTGCAGCCACAGAGCAAAGACTGTTGTGAGAGAACATTGCCAAGAGCCTCACCAACACACTTGCCTTCAAAGCTGTTCTTTGTAAAAGTGAAGAGGAATTCTATTTTGGTTAGACTGATATTCTTAGCCATTTTTCTGAAATCTACTCTAGTTTGGGCCAGGACTTTTTAATGGAGACAGAGAAAAATCTTTCAGCACTGTGTGTCAGCCTTGCTTTGTACATTCCTGCCCTGAGCCTCACGTCCAGGGACTGAGAAGCAGCACAAGAGACACTGAGCTGGCATTGCTGAAGAGGTGATTCTAACAAGCTTTTTCTTTGTGCATGACCTTCTCTCCATGCCCTTTTATCAGAGCCTTTATCTGCTGGATAAACACTGTGCTGCAGTGGTGTTTTTTTGCCTTAACCTAGGTGTGTGTTTGTGAAACTCATGTAAAGCTGCATTCCATCAGCACTCCAACAAGCTGCATTGTCCCTCTCTGTGCATTTTTAAGTTATCCAATTTTCATTAACCTTCAATAAAGTTAAATTTCAACTCAGTTTGGTCTTTGTTCTTCATTTTCTGGAGACTGAGGCTGTGAAAGTAGGTAGCATAAGAAAAAACATCCAATAAATTCCTAAACAAGGGGTTCCCTCCCTGGAAGGACACAGTGGAAGGATAGTCCAGCTGCTCCTTCCCTGCCAAACCACCCACTCCCAGTTGGCACCAGAGAGCTGGGACAAAAACTGCCATTTCAGTTGCCTGTAATTCAACATCCTGAAGTGTCAGTTGTGATCCCTCTTGTAAAGATTCCATGTAATAAATCCACAGTGGCCCAGGCACAGTTACTGTCTCCCATGTTGTGTGAAAATAACAGTTTCCTCATGCTGGGATAAGTCACTGCATAATCACATCAAATTGAAACAGACTTTAGAGTGCAGAGGTGCAGGTTTATAGTTTGTAACTATCAAAATATTTATTGGAAATTAGAAAATTTAAATAATAGCTATACATTATATACACAGAGCTACAGTCTTGGAAAATAAGGATTCAGAGTTGACACAGAGAATGTTCAACTCCATCAATACTCAGGTTTTTCTTGCAATCCAGACTCACTCCCTACATTTCAGTTGCTACATCACTTCACTCAACTGCAATCACAATACTTCACACACTGAGTTTGGAGCTCTTTCAAATAAATAATTTATAAATACAAACACTTCAGATGGGTAAAAAAATTGTTGCCCATTTCACCCTTTTCCTCCTCCTTCCTCAGACTTAGGAGCATTTTTTAGTGCATTTTAATTTTTTTATTTTACCTCTTCTCTTTCTAAGTAACACACACAGAAGTTGTCTTTGCTCAGGAGCACTATGGAGTCCCCACTGGAATGCCAGGAGAGAGACACGATCTGGAAGTCGCCTGCAGGAAGAGATCAGAGTGTGTCAGCACGGAGCTGGCAGCCCATCCTCCTGCTGGAGGAAAAGGCAGCTGGAATCAGCCACACAAATCCCTGCCAGCCCCGTGCCCTGTCCCTCATACATTTGCCATTTGATGTCTCATCATGAGCCCCTCCTTTTTTGAGGATTAAAACCCCACGTTTTTAAGAAGCTCCAAGAACACACCCCAGCCGTTTTCATGATAATCCTCGGGCTGATGAATGAGTGGAAAGATGTTCTGTCCCTGACCAGCTGGCGGCAGCTCCTGCAGGGCCTCACCTTCCCCGGGCACCTGCACGGCCACGCAGCCGGCGGGGGACCACAGGTACACTCTGCTGGTGCCGGTGCACAGGGCCAGGCGCGGCTGCCGCGGGTCCCACTGCAAACACTGGATGGGGCACAGCTGCTCCAGGACCACCAGCAGCTTCAGCTTGCGGATGTCCCAGATCCACACAGCGTTAGGAATGTTATCTGCAAGGGAAGCGTAAGGCGATCGTGTAAGACCCGAAGGATAAAAGGATCACAACTGGTTTTTTTTTAAATGGGCATTAACTGACACAATTTAACACAGCCCAGACCTTTAGGTGCCCCCCAGGGGTACCACCATTAGAATTTTACCCAGTTAAGCCTTCAGACCCAGACTGTAAATGAAGGGGAAGACTTGCGTGTTTCATTTTCAGTACAGTGACCTCACACACACTTGAAGAAATATAAAAACCTACTACTTTCATCAAATACGGAGCCAAGGCTGAGTTCATGCTCGGATCAGCCGTTCTGGCAGCTCACAGCACATGACATACACGAGAAGGCAGAGGCTGGGTTTCCTCTGTAGTTACATGTCTCAGCAGAGCTGAGTTTACAGAGTAACAAGTGCAATAAGGAAACACCCCACGTTCCATGAGTAGGTTTCCCTTTAAGGCAGGGCAGTCGGAACTTACCATTTTTGGTTGCCAGGAAACAATTATCTGCACTGAACGCCAACATCCCAACTCCCATTTTGGGATTTGCCCTGTCAGCAACTGGTTTGATGTACTGTAAGGAAACTGGCACCTGGGAAATCTCATCTGGAAGGGGAAATAAAAGCACTTCACCAAGTGAGCCTTAATGGACAATGCATTTAAATCCCAGCTGTTACAACCCATCATCTTTGAAGCAAGCAAGCATATTTCACTCTTCTCCAAGATGTTCCAATCAAAACTTCAATTAAGATACTACACCTTCATGTAACCAGCTTATTATTTCCTGCCCTCCTACAAAAAAAGCAAGGCTGGAAATCCAATCAGGTCTGAGATTAAATTAGGAAAATCAGGAGGGATCAAAATTTCCACTGCCTTGTAACTAACATTTCAAACATTGATGCAAAACAAAGGTGATTAACAGTGCCACAAACAATGAGATTGGTTTTTACTGCTCTTGAGAACACCCAGAGGATCTGTTCCACCATCCAAGGGGCAGAGTTCACCTATATCGTTTTTTTCTAGAAAGACTTCCCATGGCAAACTCAAGTGTCTTGTTTAAGTAAACTTCGGCTTACATTTACTCTGCGTGCTGAAGAGGGAACTAGCCAATGCTCTGGTTGGAGGGAAAAAAAGTTTCTCTGTTTCAACAGATGGGGATTTCTCCACTTCTTTGTACACAATCTACAAAGAAACAAGTGAGAGTTCCACAGAAGGGCCTCGGAGAGTTTGATCATGGGCTGTTACCAAATACCCACACCCCACTGACTCTTTGCACATTTATTACATCTCAGCATGCCCTCGTTCATCAGAGGAAAGGGCTTTGGTAGACAGACACGGAATTCAGCATTCCCAGGGAATCCTGGGCTGTTTGGAACCACAGTCAGTAAAAGCACTCCTGTGACAAATACATGAACCTTGAAGTCTACAAGGAATGAATCTGCCACAGTGCACCTCATGCATTATTCCTGACAGGAAAGTAAATCATCCTCATTACAGTGGGAACATGGATTTCATTTTTTCAACCAAGAATCTTTAATCTGATTCTATCATAAATAAATGCAAACCCCAAGTGCAGCACTGCAGAAGGAAATAGCAAAAATATTTCAGCATGCCTACAACATATTCCCAAACACAAGCACCAGGCTAAAAAGAGTCAACTGCAATTCCTGTCTGTGTAGTGGAGATTAACAGAGCTATTTCCATTTGTTTTCCATGACATATTTTACACCTAACTGGAAGTAAAGGCATTTCTCAGCCGTGAGAAGCTTTACTGAGGTGGTTCATGCCTTGCTTCTGGTTAAGGGACATCACCAGAGTTGTGTGACTACTGGAGGGTTACAGTCCACACACAAACTCTTCCAGGAGACCTGTGCAGTCCTCCTAAAGTGGCAAACAACTCTACACACTGTTCTTGTTACCTCTGTGGATGAGATCAGCCTGGGATTTTTGGAACAAGACTAAAGCTCTGTGCCTGCTGCCAACGACCCAGAATCTGTTGGGCCTTGCAGATACAGGTATAAAGGATAAAATCAATGCTGATAGATGTTCCAGGAAATGCTCTTTAGGTGAGCTGGATGAGCCTGTCCACACAGGATGTGACTGATCACAATCCCGTTCCAGTGGTGTTTAAAGTCAGGAACTGCATAAAGCTGAGACGAATCTCTCCTCCTTCCCATGGGCTGCACACCCAAATCTGTAATGCAGCCAACCACCTACACCAAATACACTGGTATATGACAGGAGCATCTGAGAATCTCTTAGTGCTAAGGAGATGATCACAGACACACATCCCATCAAATCTGAAAGGACTCCCCCATTTTTCTTACATTCCCAAGTTGTCGTGCAGTTTCCCAAGCCCTAATTAGGCATTAGGAGGGGAAAAATCAAGGTCTCCAAAATGAAATGGATTTATCAGCATCTTCCAGATACAAACAGCAGCACCAAAGCTCTGCTAACAACTCCATGGATTTTTGGATCCATACTCACAGTCTTTTTGCTGGCAATGGTTGCTGGGTGCTCAAACTCTGTGATCTTCTTCCATGTCACATGGTTCAAGATGCGCACCTGGTCCAGGAAGCATTGCAAGAGCAGACTGTCAGGACAAGGCTCTACACGTGGTTTAGATAAAAGAGAGGGAAAGCAAACCTATTTCTCACCTTCTCATCAAAGCTGCCAATTGCCAGGAACTGGCTGCTGGGGCTCCAGGCAACAGACTTGATGCCCAGCGGCCACTCGTAGGCGCGGTACGAGGAGAGCAGTCTGCCATCGAGGGAGTACAGCAAGAGCTTGTACTGAAACACAGACAGAGGCATTCTGAACACCAGCAGGAGTGGTAAAGACCACAGGCAGGCAAAGCATTCCTCCCAAACTCTCCCTGTTTAAAACTCAGCAAGTTAAATACCGAGGCCGTGGTCTCTTATCTACGAGTTAAGAGGTTCCAGGCTTCACTGCTCGCTTTTTGGATGAGTAGTTTTATAACTGTAAAAACACTGTGCAGTGCAATATCAGTAGAGCTGTAGAAGGCTCTTACAGAGAATTCTTCCATTATTATTTCATTAGCACCTTCTGCAATGTTTACAGTAAGTTTTTTTTTCACAAGATAAATTAGAAAGAATTTGCTGTCATTGAAAATTTACAGAACAGTGACATCCACTTGCAAGGACATCCATCCCAAACATACGTATAATATTAAACAAAAGCTGAACTCAAACCATTTTATGTTTAAAAGAAACATTTTAAACACCAGTTATTTTAGTTACTGCTTTACACATGATGCCTAAAGACCAGCTTGAACTCTCCCAAGAAAATGATCTGCTTTTCTCCTACCTCCAGGCATGAGTCCCACGCTGCCAGCACACAGCCATTAGGAGCCCACTCAATCCCAAACAGATCCTGTGTTTCAGTGTCAAAATGCTGCTCCCAAAAGAGAAACCACAAACCCATTTGAAATATTATGTCAACAAACCCTGACAGAACGTTCAGTTTTATACTTTCAAGGGCTACCACAAATGCAAAAGAGCCTTTTGCACGCCAGAGTAGAAACAGAAATATTTCCCATTCCAGCGAGCCTCAGAATTCCTGAGCCAGAGGTGACACTACACACAGACAAGTTCCTGCTAGGTTTAATTGCTCAGATCCACCCAGTTCCCCACACCAGTGTCACCCATCCTGGACAGATCTCAGGGGTGGACAGTTTATATCACATGTTCTGAGGAAAGCACTCACTACTCTCACTATTCCTAACGCAGTAAGTTACAACACACGCAGCAGGGGGAGGAGAGGGCAGAGCTTACCCTGAGGAGCTGCCAGTTGCTGCACACAAAGATGCTGATGAAGTCCTTGCAGTCGCGCCGCTCTGCCACGGCCATGTAACGCCCGTCCTTGGTGAAAACCACCCCTGCCAGGGGACAGAGTTCATTAAAACTGTGTTAAACAGGAGAGGCACAGCAAGGCAGGACAGCTGATGAGTCTTCAGTGAGGAACAGTTACTCCCAGTTCAAAGCAGAAATAAAAGAGGAGAAAGAATCTCTTCGCAGAAGGTCACATTAATCAAGGCAAAGCACAGTGCTATGTTTTGCTTGTGTCAGCAATTTTTGAGCTTCGAATGTACAATTTCTCAGGATGCAGAGCTTCAAAACACATCTGATCACTGACAGTTGTTACATAAACCCCACAGAAGATTTCAAATAACCACTTCATTTAGCCTGGCTAAACGGATCAGTTATGCAACCACCAGTTCTCCACCAACTCCCAGGCATTGCTCCCCATCCACTCTGATTTTATTTGGAATACATAATTGTCTTTGTCATCTGTGGGATACAACCCTCAGGCAGGAAACTGCTCACCACAGCCATGTGGCCTGACAGCCCTGGCACGAGCTTCCCTTTCCAACCCTTCCATGTGCAAAAGACGACAAAGGCCACTTTGGATTAATGTTTTTCACCACAGCACATCCAGCTGAATTTAATGTCTTCACACGAAAATAATTTTTCCTTTCTGCCACATTAGAAGGCCATTCCTGGGCAGAAGTGTGACACTCACCCTGCTGACACGCTTTGGGGTACTTGATGTAGGACACAGACTTGGTGCACAAGGACCACACCGTTATCCGCAGCTGGCAGAGAGACAGGGAGCACTTTGGGTTACTTTTGTAGATAAAAAAAGAATTAAGCAAATAGAAAAACATCAACCTAATTCAGCAACACAAAGTAGATCAGTGAACCTTCTGTGGTTAACTAAACTCTGTGGTTATTCTGTATGGCCCAAATGCGTGTGAGGAATTCTCTCCCAGCTCCCTGCAGTTAGCAGGGTATTTACCCCAAATTTACATTGCACTGCACTGAATACTCTAGAGGGGTGTACAAAATTCACACCACCAATATGGAGATTTGCATTTTGCACTTCCCTCCTCAGCAACACACAAGGAGGCAATGTTACAGAACCACTGAAAAATGAGAACCCCCCCCAAAACGTGCCCTGCAAAGCAAGGCATGGCAATGGTGTTGGGGGATTTCTGGGGCTGCAGAGGGCAGGCAGCTGCAGACCCAGCCTCCCCACACCTCCCCAAGGTCACAGCTGCACCCAAGGCTCAGCCCTGCCATCTGCACATTATCCAATTAAAAACAAATACTCCCTCTGCCTTAGCAACGGCAGCGCAGACACAGGAACACTGAGGATAGCATGTGAACCTTTGATTTGGAGCTGGAGTGGTGAGTGTTTCCAGGGACAGCTTTTCCCTTGTGTTTTCCTATGTTCTACTGCAGCAAGGTGAGATTCCAGAAGAGCTGTAGGTAGAGCTGTTTCCAGTAAAGATTTTTTTTCCTAATATCCAATCCAAACCTACTCTCTGTCAGTTTGAAGCCATTCCCCCTAGCCCTGTCTCTCCAGGCCCTTGTCCAAAGTCTCTCTCCATTTTTTTTGTAGCTCCCTTCAGGTACTGGAAGGCCACAAGGAGGTCACTCTGGAGCCTTCTCTTCTCCAGGTTGAACAATCCCAATTCTCTCAGCTTTTTCCTCCCAGCAGAGCTGCTCCATCCCTCTGATCATCTCGGTGCCTTCGCTGGACTTGCTCCAGCAGCTCCATGTGCTTCCTGTGCTGTTCCCCAGAGCTGGAGGCAGCTCTGTAGGGGAGTCTCACCTGAGGGGGCAGAGGGGCAGAATCCCCCCTACAAGTTTAGCAGGTCCTGGAGGAACCCACGGGATGAATGACATCAATCAAGTCTTACCCCTGCACCCCTCACTTCCGGCCACACGAGCCCAGCGCTGTCAGACTGCTCCTCTGCAAGATTTACTTTAAAAATACCAACACGATGCCTCTGTACATTCCCCTGCAGCAGCTGCAGCACTGAAATGCTGCTGGGGACTATTAATTGCAGCCCTAAATGCACTGGCTGCTCTGCCTCCCCTGAGCAAAACACACAGCACACATTCCCCAGCCACTTAAAACAAGCTTAGCAGCTGCAGGCTTCGAATGCTGAGGGCTGGATCATCGTTTTTCCTGACAAAGGCATCCCAGCTTACACTTGTGCTGCTACTTGGCCTCACAATCAGCTCCCCTGGGCACCTTGGACCAATTGGCTGCTCTGAGCCTCAGCAGGCAAAACCTTGCTGCTCATGTGGAGCTCAAGTACACGGGAAGTGTCTGGAGGTGAGACACGGGGAAAAGGTGATCACACCTTTGTTCTGAAGTCTCTCTGCATCCATCTCTGCTCCATCATGGAGCCACAGAATCACCTGGGTTGGAAAAGGCCTCCAAGTCCACCCTGTGCCCCAGCCCCAGCCCAGAGCACTGAGTGCCACATCCAATCCTTCCTTGGACACCGCCAGGGGTGGGGACTCCAAACCCCCCTGGGCAGCCCCTTCCACCTGGAACATTATTCCACAATCTCACCCAAGCTGCCACCACAAATAAGATGAAGAAGATTAGAAAGATTATGTCACAGCTCACAGAGAGGATCAGGAGAGACAGAAGCATCAAACACAGAGAAACAAAATTATTCCAAAACGACAGGAAATTTGCATTGCTGCTTGTTGCCTTTCTCATGGAATTCAGGGGGAAGGGACAATTGTCTTTGTAGCAGGAGAACAGACCACGGTCCATTAATTCTGCAGCAAGCCCTTCTCCACTGCTCATTTTGGGGGAGACTTTCTGTCCAGCATCGATGACTCGACTGAGTGGAGTTGCCAAACTCAAATCCTCACGATAATGGTGTCTGAGAAGTTTTCAGCTGTTGTTTTGCAGTGGAAAAACAAACCAAAAGCAGAAGCATTTTTAAAATAGCCTAAAAACAGCTGAGAAATAAAAAGTATCTGGATGGTAACGTGATAAACAGTGTCCAACACCGGGCCCAGGACTACGGCCCAATGTTGACAGCTCCAGGCAGGTGTAGGACTGGTGATTTTCAGCAGACAAAAACACACTTTTAAACAACCTACAGCTCAAATGACTGTCAACTCTTGTCCCAGACTTGACTGGGTCACTCGGCCCCTTACATAGCAGTGTCTGTCAGCACCGGATTTCAGAAGATTATTCGGAGCACATTCCTCGCCAGAAAGCATTTTTCAGCCAACGCAGCCACTCACAGTTACTAAGGATTAGCTTGGATACACACAAAAACACACACTTTTCCCTGCTGCTGGAGTTCCAGAGAAGCTCCTTAATGCTTAAGGACCTAACGTGGAAGGAGAGAAAGTACAGTGTATGTAGTTTATGAGCACAGCTCTTCAGAGAGGGACTCCAGAACATCTTCACAGCATTTACCCCACAACACAAGGGTCATGAGGAAGCACAGAATCCTGGAATGGTTTGGGTTGGAAGGGACCTTCAAGATCATCCAGTTCCACCAACATCTTCCACTTGACCAGGTTGCTCCAAGTCCTGTCCAGTTAGGCCTTAAACATTTCCAGGGACATGAAGAGGATCCAGATCTTTCACCTGCAGCTCTTGTTTAAGTTCTACCTATGCCTATAAATTCTGGTGGAACAAAGGCACTGGAAGAGGAGATACACCTGGTTCAGTACCTTCCACAGGGTGCTGCTTCCCAGAGTGGATCTTAGGAGAGGAATGCAGACCACGGAAAGACCCTGAATGCAAGTTAGCTGAATGCCAAAAGTGAGTGTCAAAAGATGGTTCCAGACTGTTCAGTGGTGCCCAGCAACAGGACAAGGAGTGACAGCCATAAACAAAATGAGGAAGAGTTTCTTTCCATGGAGCACTGGAACAGATGCCCAGGGAGGGCATGGAGTTTCCCTCTCTAGAGCCATTCCAAACCCACCTGGACACATTCCTGTGTAACGTGTTCTGGGTGACCCTGCCTTGGCAGGGGGTTGGACTGGATGATCTCTAGAGGGCCCTTCCAACCCCGACTATTCAGGGATTCTGTAATGATTTTTCTGAGGCACAGATTGCTAGAAATTAATTAGTACAAACACATCCTTTTTTAAAAAGTTCAGGGAATAAGAAAGTACATTCAGAGCTTTCAGTGGAGCTCACACACTGACCTGAAGCATTACAGGCACGAGTGATTAGTTGGTGCTGTTTGAAAGTGTCAGGAGGCCAAAGCCGAGCTGAGCTGGCTGATGGGGAACCCCCAAATCCCTCAGGCAATCACTGGATTTGATAACATGCTGATATTAAATATCCTCACAGTTTGCCCCCAGCACTGCCCACGTCTGTCCCCCCAGACTGCGGATTTAGCAGAGGGAGTAAACACAGCTCGGAGCGCGGCCGGGCCCAGGCAGCTGTCTGACAACAGCTAATTTAGCAACCTGTTAACAGCTGGAGAGGAAACTTATCCCAACACAGATGCCAACTTGGCAAAGGCTTAATGAAATCCTCTAAGGTCAAACCAAGTTCTGTTGGGAGGCAATAAATCCTCGCCGGGCCACCCCCACACACACGTGCCACGAGATACTCGCTGGGAGCGCACAGCGCCCGCCTGCAGCAGGGTCCTGCCTCCTCCACTGCTGCCTGGCCAGCAGGGATGGCTCCACTGCCTCCAGGGTGCAATTCTGGCCTCATTTCTTAATTTTAATTGCCATCAGAGTAATCCACACCCAGGAAAACCAAGGCCTAAGCTCATTACTCCTCATACTCCACAGCCTAAAGGGGTGGGTCTGCACACACACACAGAGTCCCTGTCTATGCCCCCCTGACACTGGGGTTTGCCCTAGAGAAAAGGAAGAAACCTTGCAATGCAGCATGTGAATTCAGTGCTAGCCAGGGCCATGGTACAGGAGCCTGTCACCTAAAACCCAGCCAAAGGTTTGCACAGAGAAAACACAAGGAGGAATGTAGTCCTCATATGTAGTTCTCAGCTATTTTCTGACCCTTCATTATTGTACTGAACAACAGGAATCATCAGCTCTAATCCAAAGGTGGACCAGTCAGAATCCACAGGCCTTCCAACGTGGATTCTACCATACTGTGCATTCCCCAATATGGCTCTTAATAAGCACTTAAAGGTGTTTTAATTTTAATTTTCCAGCTGGTTCCATCAGTAGTCGGACTCCCATGTATCAAATCTAACAACTGGGAAAGTATTTCCAAGACCTGGATCTAAATCTCCTCTCACAGGTCAATAAACCTAAGCCCGTATTTTTTAGTTCCATATTGCTCTGAAACATACATGGTTTGGGGTTGGTTTTTTTTTGCTAGAAATCCTGCAAACAACATATTCGATTTCTAAAATTCTAAATTTCTAGATTTGATGAATACCATCAAAATATCAAAATCATCAGAATATGTTCTCAAACACAAAATTTTACCTTCACATTTAAGAGTCCATTTTCTACCTTATCAGCAGAAGCAAGAGGATAAAATGCTAACGGAACAACAAACATCCAACGTGGAATTAATCTGGGTTACACAGGAATACGGAGCTGCACCCGTGTTCTCCACCACCACTGCAGCTTTAAGAGCTTTGGGTTATTTTAGGAGGCAAGGGGCAGACAGCAACATCTGACACCGTGGAGAACAATCCTGACCTGACACTCACATGGAACTCGGTGGTGTTGAGGATGTGACGACCGTCCGGACTCCAGCACGAAGCCACCAATCCCGCGGAGCCCTCGTCGATCTTACAGTGCCAGTCCGGCTGCTCCAGGGACCAGACCTGGGGCAGGGGGCAACCAGACAGTGCAGGAACAACAGCTCATCGACACCTGCAGCTGAGAACACGCTGCTGCACCCCAAGCCAGGCAGCCCAGGAGCCCTAACTGCCCGCAGCCATGAAGGACTGGCGCTGGATCCCACTGCAAAAGTGAGTCCATCCCTCTGGGTGATAATGGAAATGGCAAATGAGGTGGGGTTGATTTTTCTTGGTAAATATTCTGAATATTCAACATTTAAAAAACAGTTTTAGTCTATTCAACGAGTCTGCATGGTATTTATTTTCTACTGCAGTAAGAAACTGGTACCATAATCTCCAGGTTTGATTTGGTTTATTAAATATTTTTATTCTAAATATTCTTTTTCAAAGTAAGATGTTTGCTATGGCTTTAAAAAATCCTGGCATGCTGGGTTATCCTCAAACTACATTATCAACAACAGGAACTTCAGCAGACCTTCAGACTAGTGCTGGCTATTAAGGTGTCACTCCCAGCACACCCAAATTCCCAACAGAAAACAGATTCTCTCCTGCTTTTGTCCTCACCTGGACAATCCCTCGCTTGTACATGGCACACAGGATGAACAGGGAGTCCGATGACCACTCGATGTACTGGATCTGATCCAGGCAGGTGTAGAGCTGGCGGACCTGGAGAGAACTCGCATCCCGAACCACCAAGCGGTGCTGCACACACGAGGCCTGGGCAGGACAGGAGCAGGGCTGAGCAGGGCAGGGCTGGAGCACCGGGACTGTCCCTGCCAGGCTGCCCCTGCCCGGCTCACTGCGATCCGGGGTGTAGCTCAGAGAGGGTCACAGACGCGTTTTCAAGACATAATTCCTCCCTGGGAGGGTGGGCAGGCCCTGGCACAGGTTGCCCAGAGAAGCTGTGGCTGCCCCATCCCTGGCACTGGATGATCCTGAAGGTCCCTTCCAGCCCAAACCATTCTGTGATTGTGTAATTCTATTCTGTGCACGGAGCTCCACTGCAAACTTCAATAAGAACAGCCAGACCAGGAGGGAAGGGGCTTACAGTAACAGATAGAATCCTCACTCATTCCATCACTGCTGGCTAAGGAATTCCCATCTTAGAATAATTACTCTTTATCTCATAACTATTACTTTATTTCGTAGAATCCCAGGACGGTTTGGGTTGGCAGGGACCTCAAAGCCCATCCAGTGCCACCCCCTGCCATGGGCAGGGACACCTTCCCCCAGCCCAGGTTGCTCCAAGCCCCGTCCAACCTGGCCTGGGACACTCCCAGGGATGGGGCAGCCACAGCTTCTCTGGGCAACCTGTGCCAGGGAGGAATTTCCCCCCAGTATCCCCTCTATCCCTGCCCTCCGGCACTTTGAAGCCATTCCCCCCCGTCCCGTCCCTCCAGGCCCTTGTAGAAAGTCCTCCTCCAGCTTTCCTGTGGCTCCCTTCAGGTGCTAATTAAAGCGCTAATTAACGTAACTAGGGTTATTTTAGCCTCAGCCAGGTCTCTGTCACAGCCCCCCGTGCCCCTCAGGGCTCTGCCCCGCTCCCGGCCCGGGGCCCCGCGCCGCGGCCGCTCGGGGGCTCCGCCAACCGCCCCGGGCCTTGCCGAGCGGCCCCGCTGCCCGCGGCCGGCACTCACCAGGCACTGCCCGTCGGGGGAGAAGCGGCCCAGGAGCCCCGAGAGCTTGAACAGCTCCGAGAAGTTCATGGCGGGGGCGGCGGCGCCGGGATTCGAACCCGCGGCCCGAGCCCGCCCCGCTGCGCTCCCCGCGCCGCCGGAAGGGGCGGGGCCGCCGCGCGGGGAGGGGGGGCGGTGCGCACGCCGGGCCGGCAGGGGGCGCCCTGCGGCCGGAACGCGCCTCAGCAGGGCATTAATATGCAAATGAGACGTTAATGAGGCGCCTAATGAGCTGAGAGGTGTGCTCCCCATCCTCAGAGAACACACACACCCCCCACCCCCATATGGCGCCTTTCCGCGGGCAGCGTCCCGCGCCCGGGATTGCCCTGGCTAATTAATCGCCCCCTCCGGCTAATCAACCCTCCCGGCTAATTACCGACAAGCGACAGGAGCACAGCCGCGATGTCCCCGTCAGGTTCCCCGGGCAGGACACAGAAACTGGCAGTTGCAATAGAGATGCCCCAGAAAAAAGGATGTTAATTGATTGGAATCCATCAGTGACAAACAGACACATAAATAGATAAATAAGTATGTACAGACACACGGACACACCAGCCAGGGGGCAGAAGCCAGACAACGCCTCCGGCGGGACGTATTCCCTTGGGAAAGCCCCGAGGGGGGCCGGGAGCGGTGACAGGGACGCCCCGGCCCCGCGGGATGGGGATCCTGCGTGTCCCTGCCCGGGGGAACACGCGGCTCCGCTCCGCACCCCGCATCTCTGCCCGGTCCGGGAGCGACCCCCTCCCTGCCTGGGGACCACAGCCACCATCATTTAAAAATAAACCTCGCGATCAGAGAAACGATCGAGTCTTGTTTTCATTGCAGATTGTTTGGGTTCAAAAAAAAAAACCCGTTTCGGGCACCCCGGTGTGTTTCGGGTGGGTAAATAAATGCACCGGTTCTCCGGCCCGTGTCGCAGGGACGGACGCGACAGCCGCCCCGCCGCCACCACCCGCGGTGTCCCTGCCCGGGGAACAAAACGAGCTTTAAGGTCCCTTCCAAGCCAAACGCTCCCATTAAAGCCCGGCAGCCGCCTCGGTGCTCCCCGGTGGCTGCCACAGCCTCCCTGCCCCGGAGCCACTCTGGCACTGGTGACCAGCTTAATTCCCCGGCACGCTCGGCTGAGCATTCCCCACCCCCCTGCAACTGCCTCCTGCTCCAGGAAGGAGCGCACGAGCTTTTGCCTCACTTTTCACACAGCTTTCAGCAGCTCCAATGTCATTGCCTAGGCGACCGGGACGCTACTAGATCGTAGTGCAGTAAATAACGTAGATCCTCTATCCCAGGCCACTCCTGTCCGCGGGAGACCTCCGGGGGAACTCGAAACGCAGGTAGGAGGAAAAAAAACCTACAAAAGGAAACCCCTTGCTATCCGTGTGTGCGAGTTTCTCGGCACGACCCTATCCCGAGCACTCGATAACGTGCCTGGAAGATGATTCGTGGCCACTGGGCTTCGTGGGCTTGTTACCCGGTACTGAAGTGTCTTTTAAAGTTTGCTCCCAAGTGCCTTAGATCCGGAGTGCAAACTGGCCCAGCACTGTGTGGGAGAAGCAGTGGAGGGGCTGGATCCCAGTGGGATGCAGGGACTGGCTGCCACGGCCAGGTCCCTGCACAGGGATGAGGCTGCAAGGGAGGGAGAGAGAGTGGCTGCCTCAGCCTCCTGCCTCATCACGAGCTGCCTGTCAGTGACTCCATCCAGAGAGGATTTCTGTCCAGCCTGCCTCCTCCTTGGAAAGTAAATTGTTAATAACCTGCTGGACATCAAGGAGGGCTCCTGAGATTTAAGTGTGCTGCAGGAAAGCTCACTCCCTTGCTCTTCATTGCTTTTACAAACCTCATTTTGCAGGTGTGAATTTAATAATCCGGGACAAACGAATTATAGCACAGGGCAGTACTGGTACCCTGGGACTGGCAGCATTTTGCAAACATTGAGTTGTTTGCTGTGGGCTGGATGAGCCCAAAGGGTCTCTCTGTGCAGAGGAGAGAAGGTCCGGGACTGGTTCCCAAACCATCAAGCAGCTGAGTGTGAGAGGTAACAATGGCTCTCAGAAACCCTTCTCTCTCAGGATGGGCCAAGAGTCCCTAGGAATTAGTCATAGCCCTGTTATACAGAGTTTGGGCATTTATCTCCCTTTAAGGTGGCTGCAAATGTTTCATCCTGGGCTGGATGCCACCATGTTTCATCCTGGGCTGGAGTGGCAGGACAGCAGTGAATTTGTTATCACCGAGTAAAATAGCACTGGGTGCTAACCCCGAGCCTTAAAGTTGATGGTGAGATCAAAGATGCTCCTCCTAGGGAGTGCAGAAACTCAGCAGCTGGGCAGTGCTGTGAGACCCCTTCACTTTCCTCACAGTGATGAAAGAAGGAAGTTGAGTTTATCACCATTCTAAGAATATATTAAGGTCTGTGGTCAGAACACTCACCAATGTGAATGAATCGCGGTTGGATATACAAAGGTTCACCTCTCTGCTTCTCCAGAGAATTGTTCTCCCATTTTGGGGTGGCTCTTGGGACTTTAGTGTGTGGATTTCCTTTTTCTTCTGTCTCTGGGGCTTGGAGGGGGAAAGAGCTGCTTCAGCTGAGCTGGGGCTGACTTGGCATTTTGGATGGAGCCAAAGCCACAGCAGTATGGAAAATTGAATACATTGAGCTTTTCCATACTAATCTTTGGAAATTATTCCAGTGGCAGCTCACAGGGAGGGGGCATGCACAGGAGGAACCGGCCCCACTGCGACCAGCCAGGTCCAGAATCCCAGGGGTGCAGCCTTGCCATGGGCTGAGCGGAGTCCCAGGTGAGGGGAGGTGTGATCACCTGTCCACAAGCTTTCTCTCCTTACTCCTGGCCTCTTTTCCCTGCAATGCCCTGACTAGCAACAGAGGGAAGCAGCAATCCAGCAATCGCTGGAGCTGGCTTGGGGAGGTGCAGGAGGCTGCATGAGAGCAGCTCTCCCAGTGAACAAGGCAAATTCCACCTGCAGCCTTGGATCCCATCACCAGCCCCGGGGTTTGCACATTTTGGTCCTTCTTCCTCTAGAAACCTGCAATAAATCCAGTGCAGGTCCCTCCCGAGCTGTGCCAGTCATTCCAAGCATCCCCTGCTGCCTCCCTGCAGGGTCAGGGCAGAAGGGATGGAGAATTCCTTGCTGCCCTTCCCAGGGCAAGGAGGTTTTCACTTTAGTAAGCAGTTTGGGGTCTCTGGAGGTGATAATTTCAGATGGAATCACATCAGCACCATGCCAATTTTGGGGAACCCTATTTATAAGTCTTTTGTGATTCCTTACCATCCCAGATGCCCTGTGCCAGGCTGTCAGCCTTGCTGCAGAGGTGGTTTCCCAGGATGAGCTGAGATCACAGCAGAGGGATGTGCCTTAACAACACGAACCGCTGCAGCATCTCTTACTGCTCTGGAGTTTAGAGCTCAGATGTGAGAAGCTGGCCTGGCTTTGCATGTGCAGGTTGTGCTTTGAAAGAGAAAGGGAACTTCCAAAACGCCCTTAAAATAGTCAGATTTCTTTCCTTTTGAGAACGAGAGCAGCCACGTGGTTAGAGCTGGTGTCACCCGTGATGACCACACAGCCGGGGCGGTGCAGAGGTGCTTTCTCTGCTGGAGGGAAAGGCCTGGCTTCTTCCTGAAGCTGCCCCGCGCCAGGGAAAGCAGCATGGAAGCAGGGTAAGGCCACCAGCAGCCGGCTGCATCTGTTCTAGGCTTTTCCTTCTCTCAAAGCTGGCGTGTTGGTACTTTCGTTTTTCTGTGTGTCACACGTGGGGCGAGGAGGGACGGGAGGACACCAGACTCTCCGTGTCAGCTATCCTGGCATTGGGCCCGTGGCACATGGGCCCTCCTGTGCTGTGGGAAACTGTCGTGGGTTTGCTTTGGGTCAATTTCTTTTCTCGCCCTCCACAAAATTGCTGTAAGTTGAGAGAAGGTTTATGCAGACAAAAGAGATCTGATGTGGGGAGAATAATATTAGGATTTATTACCAGCAGTGTAAGAACTAAAGAACTATATATGCAATAATTCTAACTAGGCAAAAGTGCTATATAATTACAGAAGTACACCTCTTGTATCAGTTTAGGAGGAGAAGCAGGTTCTTTTCCATTTCCAGAGCTACAGGTCTCAGGGGATGGCAGCTGTGGATGCTGTGTCTCGTAGAAAGCAGCTCGCAGGATCTGCTAATGGGGAAAGCTAGCTTGCTTTTGTTTCACCTCCCTTCCCTGCTGGCACACAGTCCACAGCTGAGTCAGAGGGGCCTGGGAGATCCTGAGCATCCCTCAGCCCGAGAGGGGCTGCCCTCGGCTCAGCAGCTCGCTCCCCAAAAGCAGGAAGTTTCGGGTTTTCGCTATGAGATGTTGGAGGTGAAATGAGATGCTAAAACAGCGTGGGTAAAAGGAGCAGCTGGATGCGCCTGAGGTACCTCCATGTCAGCCAGGGCAGGGGAGCGGTGCTGCTGCTTCCAGGGAGTGGGTGAGGGAGGAGGAGGATGGTCCATGGCAGCACTGCCCGCCCAGGGAGGCCGCGTGGGGCTCAAGATGGCTCTGGGAGATTTCCCGCTCCGGCTGCTGGGCCAGAGAGGCTCTGGGAGCGCAGGGAGAGCCGAGGTGTGCCCTGGGCTTCCTCCCGCACCTGAGAGAGGCCAGGAGACATCATCCAGGAGCGAGGGGAAGGCAGCAGACTGAGGAGGACTCTGGTTATGACCATGCCGAGCGCTCAGAGGCTTTGGCTGAGGGACGGGCGTTCCCACAGCTCCCCGGATGCACCTTCTGGCCGAGCTCGGGTCACGCCCTGCACACCATCCCAGCCAGCAGCTGCTGGGGCATGGGGCACTGTGCCCCACCATGGCCCCACTGTGCCCCTCCAGTCCCTGCTGGAGTGAGCTGGGGGACTCCTGCCCTTGGCCGGGTGCTTTTGGCATGAGACGACTCGGCACGGCACGGCACGGCACTGAACAGCACAGCACGGCACAGCACGCTGGCAGTGCTAACCCTGCTGCTTCTCTTTGCCCCTAGAGTGGTTTATCCTCTGTCGGACTCCCCCACTGCCAAGATGTCCCAGTCACCTCCAGCTGATGAAGGCAGCACGTTCGCACACCTCTGGAGCACTCTGTAAGTGGGGGGAGGGATCATTTCCCGTGAGGGGTGTTCGGAAGCAGGAGTAGACAAGTTCCTTTTGCATCCTCTGCTCTCCAAGGATGCCTTTGCCACACTGAGAGTTTTGCTCCCAAATTCCAGCCTCCCTGCTCAGCCCATTTCATCTGCCAAGCTGTCTTTTGAAACCAGCACACAAACATACATGGCACTGCCTCGTGGAGGGCTCCTTTTTTTTGCTGCAGTGCTCCAGGGCTGCATGGAGATGGTGTCAGGGCCAGAGCAGAGGTTCCCTTAAACTGGGTCCCTTAATTCTACAATTAAACATCTTCCAGCCCCACCAAGATGTTTGCAAGTTTTCTGTCCTTTGAGCCTCATGCTCTAATAAAGCAAGGGAGAAGGACTGTGCTTCATTCCATCCTTTCTCCCTTGGTATCCTCTCATGTAAAGACATCCCAAGGTGACAGATATGCCACAGCAGCTGGGTGGATGCACAGCTTCCCAAGCCTCTGCTTGCTTTACCTGCCAGGCAACAGTTTGCCTGAGCAAAGCCTGCTCTGCCACATGGGAATCAAAGCAGAGGATGGAGAGAGGAGTTGGGGAGGTGACAAGGTTCAAGGGGATTGTGAGTTGCTGGGTGGTGGTGGTGATGGCATGGCATGTTGGAGGGCTGGGAGGATGACTGTGCCCTCACTTCTCCTCAGGGAGCCAGACAGCACCTACTTCGACCTCCCTCCAGCCACCCACACCGGCAGCAATGAGGTCTCCAACCAGACAGAGGTCACGCTGGACGTCTTCCAGATGAGAGGCATGAGCGACTCGGTGATGGTGAGTGTGCCCGGGTGCCACGGGTGGCATCTGTGCCAGACACAGACTCCATTTCCCCACAGGGGTGGGCTGGGGGCTCTGGGGGAGGCAGTGGGGAGCACAACCACTGCAAGTGTGGCACTGCTGACACCGGTGCAGGGTCTGATCACCTGTGGCATGGGGGTCAGTAAAACCGTGGCTGCTCCCTGTTAGACGATATCTCTGCACAGAGCAGAGGGGGCTCAGTGCTGTAAGGGCAGCAGAGCTCGAGTCCCACGACAGGAACAGCGTGTCATTCCCTCTGCTACAAACGGTGTGCAGTAAAAGCCCATCCTACAAGCCCTTGGCTCTGTCTAAGGCAGAGTCTTGGGAAAGCATGGGGGCTGTGTGAGACATCCAGGTCACTTGTGCCTGTTTGGTGCCCCGGGCAGGTTGGCCTCCCGGCAGCACCCCTGCAGCAGCTCCGGCTGTTGGCAGCATCTCCCTGCAGAAAGCCGCCGTTTCCCTGCAGAAAGCCGCCCTTTCCCTCCCCGACAGCTTGCCTCCCCTCCCCCAGCCCCTTTTCCCTCGCTTTCCACTCGCTTTCCCTCCCTTCCCCAGCCTCTGCCACAGCGGGCAGGAGCCAGGCAGAGGGCTGATAACTGGGGCTCTGCCCCTCGCTGGGTGGGCGAGCCCTCACCTTTCCTCTCACCCCAGCTGTGACCAAAGCTGAGCCCTGCAGGGTTGGTGCAGCCTAGGGGTGTGTGACAGTAAATGCACAGGTAACAGGGTGCCACTGCACTGAGACAGAGGCAAGAGAGGGGAGCAGCAGTGGAGGGACTGCTCAGTCCGTGCTGATTCCTTCTGCTCATGGGGCTCAGCACCAGTGCCAATGCTCAGTGACTTGGAGCAGGTCACCCCAATGCCCTGGCTACCCATCTATCCCTATATATCCCTATCTATCCCTGTCAATCCCCCTAGATATCCATCCATCCATCCATCCATCCATCCATCCATCCATCCATCCATCCATCCATCCATCCACACCTATCCATATCTATCCATCCAGGCAGGGATAACTCCATATCATTGAGACATGGAGCTCTCACAGAGTCACTGCATCATCGGGTCAGTGCAAGCATGGCCACCTCGCTGTGCTGGTGACAGGTGCCAGCCAAGCAGGTTTCCAACCCTGTGTGGCTGGAAGCAGCTTTCAGGAGTGGGATCGGGGTGGGTTTGATGGTGGAGCTGGACCCCCACTCTCCCTGCAGTGGGAATGGTTGGTATCGCCCAGTCCATCACTGGGCAAGCTGGGGCCTGCCCTGTGCTTTAATGAATAGTCATGAGGGACAGAAGGGGTGGGCCCCGTTTTGTTGTTGGATGCAGCGAGTTGACAGAACTAAGGGAGATGAAAAAAGCAAGAGAGCCAACAGACGGCGGCACACGGGTGGCCAGCGCAGCATCCCTGGCGCTGCCCACCCCAGCCCTGCTCCCACACTCCCCCCTTCCACCTGCCATCCCACCCCGGCCTCCTCCATCGCCACCCCGACCCCATGACTCCCGTGGCAGGACGGTTCCCCGCGCTCCGTGAACCCCAAGACAGCTAAAATGCTGTACATCAGCGACCCGATGCAGCATTACACCACGGTAGGTGCTGCTCGCTACGGACGGGCTTTGCCTTGCTGCTTTTATTAGAATGATGCCCCACTGCTGGGGCACCCGCTCCAGCTCTGCCTGCCCAGCCTTTGTGCTGCGGCCCAGGATGCTCCAGGGGTTGTCCCAGTGTGATTCTGTCCCCAGCCCACGGCTGCAAGGACGAGCTGGGGCTGCTCCAGCCCCGCTCCTGAGCCCCAAGCCGTGTCAGGGCAGGATGCTGCAGCCTCGGTGGCTCGGTCACTGTTCCTCTTGCTTTGCCTGATCCGGTGCTGGCAGAGCCCAGGGTGTGATTTAAACCTTGGTGAATGGAGTGCAGGCTGCTCATCTGTGTGCACAGTCAGGAGGGTGTGAGCTGGAGCATCCATCCGAGGAATGCCTGCGCTGCTGGAACCACCAGCACCGGTTTGTTGTCCACTGGGGATCTCCTCAGCCGAGCCCACGGACACGCCATGGCCCCAGGCAGGCTTCCCTTCCCTGGTGGATGTCCCTGGGAGGGCAGAGCAGGTGAAGTGGTACCTGTGCTGCAGGTGATACGCTTTCAGCCCTGCCCAAGGGTGCCGAGGGTGTTTCCTTGGGGGTCTGTGTCTGTCTCTGACATTCAGAACAGTCCAACACAGGCACAGAGGCAGTCAGAGATCGAAGGAAATTACTTCATTCCTCGTTTTTACCTTCTGTGTGTTGCTACCAAGCCGTGTGTCCCGGGATCATTGGGGCTGTTCCTTGGGAGGTCGTTGCTGCAGTTGTGTGTGTGTGCACAAACATGTGTGTGCACAAACATGTGTGTGCATGAACATATTTACACACACACACAAACACTCCTGCCTTTGATTCATCTTTTAAGGGAATGTTTCCATGATTTTGTCAATTTTGAACAACAAGTTGGTCATTTTCCCCCCTGCACCGGACTCTGGGTCTCTCTGCCAGTGGATTCCAAAGTCCTGGTGCTCGGGAAGCTGTGTCTTGCCCGGCTGGCACAGGTGGTAGCCCGGGTCTCATATCTCACCATTTCTCCCAGGGCAAGCTCTCCCCCATGCTGAGGTCGGGATGCTCCACTCAGGGGAGGGTCCCCACTCACCTGCCCATTTATGGCTGCAGGCTTCAGCCACACACAGTCCTGGCTCTAAGCACCAGAGAAAAACAGCTCAGTCGTGATACTCCTGGACTGTCTGGGCTGTAGATGAGCCCTGTCCAGCAGCAATCCCTTCTCCCTTGCTGCTGCTCTCCTGGTTGATGCCTGAGCTTTGCCTGTGCCACCATGCCAGTGCTGCCCTGCCCACGGTCCCCATGGCTGCTGCCCAGCAATTCCCAGCTGGAAGGCAAGGGCTTTCCACATGCCTGTTTTTCCCCAAAGTTTTTCTCCAGGTGAAGCCTGGGATTATGGAAAGCTTGGCTTGTCTTCGGCTGGGCTATTTATAGAGCGGCAAGGAGGAATAGAGGGGTTTAGGCACATATTTTAGGGAGAAAATGGCTGGATGTGTAAAAGCAAGCCAGATCTTGTTCAGCATTCCTCCAGTTAGTCACAGGCTCCAACGACCTTGTGAGAGATGCAGGCAACAGGAGAACTTCCCTGGAGAAGGATGATTGCCTTTAAACCATTCCACATTGTAGACGGTTGGGTGAGGTTGGGATCCCAAGTTAAAACACGTCTCCTGATTCCTGAGCCGTGAGCCTTGCAGCCCTCTGGGGAAGGCTGAGCCTGCTGGCTGTGCCCACGGCTGCTTCCAGAGCTCTTGGCTTCCCAGAGCTGCCCCGGCGGGTGCTGGGAACAGGGACAGTCCTGCTGGGACATGGGGGCAGTCGAGGGTGACCCTGTCCATGCCAGGACAACACACAGCGATGCACCGTCCGCTGTGTGTGGTCACCGGCACAGCCCCAGTGGCCACCACAGTGTCCACCACAGCACCCGCCTCTGGGGCTGCCAGGGTGAGAGCAAGCCCTGAGCAACTTGGGAATTCAAGGTTTCTGGGCAAAAAAGCCATCCTACTTGCTTTGAGAAACAGTTTTATTTGGGTCTGATTTTGTGATGAAATATTAAGGCCACTTTGGCCACGCGGTTCTCAGGAGTGTCACTGTACTTAGGCTGTGCCTGTGGGTAAAGGAGCTGCCAGCTCTTACTGGAAGTATCTGACAGTAATTGGCCAGAAGAGGAATAAGATAAAAATTGTAAAAAGTGAGGATTTGGTCCAGCGGGTCTGGAATAAGAGCCAGGACATGCCTAAGTGGGTCTGCTTGCCCTGTGCCCTTCCTGCAGAGCGCTGCATCGCAGCCACGCGCTTCGGAGGTTTGAGGTTTTCCCCAAATTAGAGCTGCATCAGACACTGAGAGCAAACATCCCACTGGGAAACAAGCTACAAACCACCACTCAGGGCTGGCTGGCTCAGAGAAGCACTCCCAGGAGTGGGGTGTGGGTTCTGTTCTTGACCAGTGAATGCAAGGGGGACAGGTCAGAAAACAGGTCGGCCACCCAGGACCGCTGTCACGATGGAGCAATGCCATTGCCAGGGACTGCTGCTCACCTTGCCAGGGCAGCTTCAGTGAGCTGTGACACTCTGGCTGCTGGAAAAGCCACTGTGGAGCAGAGCCCTGCGTGCAGGACAGGGCTGTCACTGCCCGCCCACAGCGGGACATCTCCCACACCTGAGCGAACCCCGGAACATCCCTGCCCTCTCCCCGCTGTCAGAGCAGAGTCTTTCCCTAGGCAGGTGTGCTGGAAAGCTGGGACTGTGGCACCCCGCTGCCTCTGGTGATGATGGAGCAGATCGAGGGGGATGATTTAAAGTACTGGAGTTTATCCCTCACACAAGTGGTGACCTGTTGGAAAACCCAAGCCACCCAGACCAGCTCTTCTGGCTCCCCTCCCGCATGCTGGCCCTTTAAGGAGGCTGTAACAGGACACCCCAGCCCTGGAGAAGGGTGGCTGAGGTTTCCCTGTCTCTAAACTGGCTGGTGTTTTCTTTTTTCCCTCCTCCCCTTTTCCCTTCCTCCAGTCCCAGTTCAATTTGCTGAACAACAGCATGGATCAGAGCATCGGCAGCAGAGCAGCCTCCACCAGCCCCTACAGCTCCGAGCACACCTCCAATGTCCCAACGCATTCTCCCTACTCGCAGCCCAGCTCTACCTTCGACGCCATGTCCCCGGCTCCCGTCATCCCCTCCAACACCGACTACCCCGGCCCACACCACTTCGAGGTGACCTTCCAGCAGTCCAGCACCGCCAAGTCAGCCACCTGGACAGTAAGTTGCATGCCTTGTACCTTCTCTGGGGAGATGCTCGCCACCACCCACAGCATCCTCGCCGCCAACAGCCAGCACCTTGGTGGTGGGGACGCTTGGCAGGGCAGCTGTGGGACACGGCCACCACCCACGGGGTCGTCACCTGCACGGGTGGTCCTGGGGAGCAAAACTTGCAGGAAACATCCGTGTTTGCTTTTCAGGGGGTTTCTCCCAAAGGGCTGTGAAACGCAGCAGCTACAGTGTCACTTCTCTCACTGCAGTTCCCTAAACTGCAGGTAAATGTCCCCAAAAGAAATGTCCTGGGGAAGTACCTGCCTTGTTCCCCAGGTGCTTCCCAACACCTTTGCTAGCCAGCGCTGTCAGAGGAGAGGCCACGGGTGAGAGGGACCTTTGCTCGCATCTCCCAGCGCCGTTCCCAGCTTTGGGGTAAATTCCTGTTTGTCATTGACAATCCCTTTCCACCCCATATCAGAGGAGTAACTTAATCTCTAGAAGTCACGGCAAACGGCAGAGTAGGATTTTAACCACAGCGGGTTTTTGACCAGGATCACATCGTGCCGTCCGCTGGTCCCCTCGGGAGCCGGGATGCAGGTTTGGTCCACGGCACAGGAGAGCTCTGCGGAGCGGGGACCCGGCGGCAGGGGAAAGCCTACAGGGGCTGCTGTGATTTTTGTGGAGAAAGGTCCTAAGTTGGCGTCCCCGGCTCAGCGCAGCGCTGTCCCTGTTGCTGAGGGCAGTGCCGGAGGCGTTCCTGCAGCTCCTCCGGAGCGCCCGGAGAGCCGCTCAGCAGCGCGCTCGAGCCGGGCGGGTTTTCTCCTCGGGAAACACCGATTGAGCAGAAAGGCTGGCGTGGGGTGACCGACATCCCATGGGAACAGAGAGGGTTTCCTCCGGGGCTGCGGTTTGACATTGCCATGGAACGGGCAGAGCAGCCCAGGAGCGATGTCAGCCGCAGGTGTGATGATGACCTTCGTTTTCGGGAGGTGACGTGTTTAATTGCCAAGACAGTCCTTCCCACGGGAGACAGAAAGCATCCTTGGATGCTGTCGTGCAGGGAGACCCGGGCAGCGGCCGGGGGGTGCTGCTGCGCGGTGGGATGCTCCCGGTGTGTCCTGGTGAGGGTGCAGCAGGGGACGGGCTCCGGCAGCGGCCGCAGCACTGGAACTGCGTCCCGTGAAATCCAGCGGTGGGCGGAGTGGGAAAGCAGCAGTCGGCAGCAATCGGGCGTTTGAAAGCAGCCGAATTCCTGGCTGGAGCAGTCCAGCAGCTTCCCTGCGGTGGCTGGAGCTGCACAGCTGAGTCCCACAGATCAGCGGCTTGGGACAGCACCGCGGTTAAGCACGACCTGCCCTCGGAGGAGTGGTTAATGCTCCACTCTTTCCACTGTCTTTCCTTGCGGGATGTTGCTCAGGGATGCATTGCATACTGAATAAACGTGAGGTCCTTGGGGCAGGATGATGTGACTCCAGGCCCATCCTGTCCCTACTGGGGGATAACTCCCATCAGTTACAGGTAAAGCTGCACAGGACCTGCACAGGGAAGGGAGGCATTCCCGTACCACTAAAGCATCTGAATGGAAACCCAAACGAGACACTGCAGGGTGTCTTGTCCCAGTGTGCAGGGATGGGGCCCAGAGAGTGGTTGTAGCCATTGTCCCCAGCTAGGAGTGCTGGGGGATGGGTTTGGGATGGAACAGACACAGCGTGGGCAGGGCTCCCCTCCTGAAAGACACCCCTTTCCCCTGGGATCTTTCTACAGTTGTAGCTAAAGTGAGCTCGGGCGGTCTCGGCATCACCCATGTTGTCTGTGCCCCTGTAGTTACTGTGTCCCACTGGGAGCTTGGTTCATCAGGACAGGATGGCTGTCTTTATGGAAAGTCAGGGCAGGCAGTCGGAGGTGTGTGGCCCTCTGGACCACCACACTGGGGTGGCTGCATCTCCCCAGCCATCATCCCAGCAGGATGGCTGCAAGGTCAGAGCCCAGCAGCCCACAGTTCACTGTGCTGGAGCTGAGCCTTGCAGAGAACAGCAGTGGGTTGGCACCCTGAGAGCACAGGGGATGTTTCATTTCAAACAGTGGTTCCTGCAGGACTGCTGATGTGGATGCAGAGGGTCTGTCTCTCCGAGGTGCCACGTGAGGAATGGTCCTGCTGCAGTGACAGCTGTGCCACTGCATGTCCTCCCAGCTGGGGCTGTCACAGACACATTTACTGCTGGAAGATGAGGCCATTGCCTTCCTCCCACTTGCCCTGAGCTCTGCGGTGCCACTGCCACACACGAGGCTGTCCCGGTAAAATGGGGAAAGGAGCTCAGCAAAATAAACATGTTCTCTGCTGCCAGTCAGTCAAACACAAGTGTGTGACCCTCCACAGGAGCTGAGCACACTCATGTAGCAGTCAGGAGGGCTGGGGACAGACAGGGGTGTCTGACAGCACCGTCACACAAAGGGCAGCAGCGCTGACTGTCCTGGAGTGCTGCAGGACACGCCTGGGTTGGGCCAGCACGTCAGAGGAAACAACCTGGCCTGCTTCATCCCTGTCTGGGAAAGCCTTGTGGCTTTTGCAAGCACTGGGATTCATTGCACTAAGTGATTTATGGCAGGGTGGTTGATCAATTTACACCAAGCTTTGACCACAAGCTTGGTGGAGCCAACGCTGCAGAGCAGCAGGGAGTCCCCTGTGCTGGAAGAAGGCTCTGCTGAAGGTCTCTTGCAATCTGGGGTCAGACCATGGAGGATGCAGCCATGAAGGAATGGACAGCTGGTGTACAGGCAATGCCAAAGCAAGTAGTTCATGCAAGTCATCTTGTCAAATGATTTGGGGTCATTTTTGATACAATCATGAGCTTTGGTTGATGGAAATGGGTAGCTCGGTGGCATCCTGGTTCAACCCCTCTGGAAGATGCGGTGTTGTCCATCCTCCTGTGCTTAGGAGGGGAGGCTCCAAAGGATCTTGAGGGTCCAGACCAGAGTGTTTGGAGATGAGCTGGCTGCTCTGGGGTGGTTTGCTCTGCAGGGCCGATCACATCGCTGTCACCTGGGCAGGGATGTGAGGTGTCTCCAAGCCTGCTGTCTGCACACTCATGATGCTCCTGTCCGCACTCCAAACCCTCTGTTGACAAAACAGAGAGGGTTTGGGAGGGAGATGCGAAGAAGATAAAAAGTTTGGAGCAGATGCCTTGTAGGGCAATACTAGGAAAGTATTCTGCAAGGAAGGTCACTCTGAGAAGAGCAAAGGTGGCTCCATCATGGTGTGCCCAGGAGATGGTTCCTCATAGCAGCCAGCTCCTTAATCTAACAGAAAAAGACATAATAAGATCCAGCACTTGGAAGCTGAAGCCAGGCAAATTCAGACTACAAACAAGGTGGAATTTTTTTAGCAGGGAGGATAATTAAACATAGGAACAATTTACCAAGGAATGCAGTGGATTCTCCAACTCCTGAAGGATTCAAATGAGGACTCTGCATATCTCTTGAGAGATAAGCTGAGCTTTAGCAGACACCCTTGGCTCAATGCAGGAGGAGGAGGAAGGAAGGGGTCTGGGGGCAGCAGTGTGGGGAATGGGCCCAGAGCATCATCAGCTGCTCTCTCTTGCCTCTAAATTCTGATTTTCTAATTTTAGGAAAGGCATGAATGGAGAAGGGGCAGAGCCTTGGGGCAGGGGTTTGGGGCTCACATTACTGAGCTCTGGCCTTGCAGGGGGACACTGGGCAGTGGTGGGTGACACTGGACGTCCCGACCCCCGGGCTGGGCTCTGAGCACCACACGTCACCACCAGCTCTGGACCGAACCAGCAGCTCTGTTCCGTGCTGTGGGGAGCCCTCCAGGCTGCTGCCACCTCCCTTTTCATTTTTAATGGCCTTCTTATCGCAGAGAGCAAGGGCCAGATGCTGAAAATAAGGTTTTCCCTGTAGGTTGGAAGCCCCCCTCTGGTAGGCTGCTCCGGCGGGGCTGGGAGGAGGACCGGGAGCTGCGGCGCGGCAAGACGGGGCACGCCGGCATCCTGCCTGCCTGCTGGGAGCCATCGGGGCTCCGGGAGCCCGGAGCTGCCCGGACACGCTGCAGCTGCAGCCGCAGCCGATCGCGGCGCTTTCCTCGCCGCAGCCCCTCACCGCACCGGCCAGCTGGTAACTGATGGATAATTAGAATTTTTCTCAAGTCGGGTTGGTGGCAGAGCAGGGCTCCCTCCCCGCCGGACGCTGTCACGTGTGCCAGAGCTGCAGAAGTGTTAATGGGGTCTTTGGCCTCCCGTGGCCGGGCTGCGAAGGGATGTGGGGGCTCGAGCCCACGGTGTGGGGCAGCCGCCCAGGCCCACACGGAGCCCCCGGAGCCGGGAAGGGATGGACAAACCCCCAGGCTGTGCAGGCAGGGGCAGCTCTGACACAGGCACAGGCACAGGGAGGTCCAAACCACATCCAGGGACTTGCCGCTGCTTCAGAGAGCAAACAGCAGATGAGGGAAGGGCTGGAGATGTTCACAGCTGAGGGGAGCTCCTCCTGCTCCCATGGACAGCTGGGCACCAGTCACCCACAGCAAACTGACCCCAGTGCTCAGCCAGTGGGAGATGGACACGTGGAACTGGTTCCAGTTACTCATTAGATCTCGCAGCTGGAGCGTGGGCGCTGGGGAGCTGAAATGCTTTGCCTGATCCTAAACTGAACGAGGAGGATGGGAATAATTGGTGTGGCAGGAGGCAGGTTCTCCCTTGCTGGTTGCTGCCTGAAGCTCTTTGGGGTAGAGGTGGTTGTAAAGACAAGGGAAAACTCTTCAGGAGCATCTATAGACAACAGACCCACTCTTCAAATCCTCTCTGGCACTTCCACAATCCCACAGAAGTTCCTGTCCAACAGCCATGGCCTGGAGATGATCAGGGGCCATGCACAGCTCAGGACACTGCCTCTGAGCCACAAACATCTCTGGTTTTCTCCAAGCAGATGGGCAGGTGAGCGTGGATATTTTGGCATGCTTGAAGTAGGGAAGCAACCTCAACACCAGCCTGCCC